TTGCCTTGGGTCAAACGAAGGAAACGTTGAATGCTCTTAAGCCTGTTTTTGAAAATGCACGCACAGCACCCTGCAAGGCCAGAGCTTGGACGTTGCGAAGTCGAGTTCACTCCGTTTCAGGGGACGTATGTGCTGCCTTGGGTGACCTTTTCACCTGCTTGGAGGAACTCGGCGTGAAAATCAACCGCGTAGCAACATGGGAAGAAAGCGACGAGGCATACAGAAAAATTTCAAAGTATCTTCAAACGATTGACTTCGACACTCTTTTAACGCGACCTCTTAGCAACGACCGAGCCTTAATCGCGGCCGGCTCAGTGTTGAACGAAGCCATCTCCATTTGCCTCTGGCTTGACCCTATGATGTACTTCCATCTCACCGTCGAAATGATGCGGCTACATCTTGAGTATGGGGCGATGGCGCAGGTAGTATATTTGTACAGCCAGTTATCGGCAATTGCACTGAGCCGATTTAAGGATGTCAAGCTCGGCTTGAAGCTCAGTGATGCTGCATTATCGATTCTTCGCGTTACTAGTGACCCAGCAGCGATCGCGCGTGGCATTACCATCCATAACTTCTTCATCAACCATATGCGGGACCCAGTTTCTGCGATTCTACCCCTACTGGAAACGTCAACTGAGGCTGCGTTCTTCCTTGGTGACCGCTACTACATCCTTCTCAATGTATCCTCGATGGTTATCACTCGGCTTGTTCTCGGCCACGACTTAGGGGAGACAGAAGACCTTTGCAATGATGCGACTGAAGGGATCGATGACTGGGTTCACGATATTCGTGGAGGGCTCGGTATTGTAGCCACTCGGTAAGCGCAATATTCCACACCTATTCCTACGTCATGGCTCAGTACATGTATTAATTCCTTAACAGACAAGCCGCACGCGCGCTTCAAGGGAAAACACTGGCTAGTTCACCAGAGCTTGCTCTGTCTGATGCATATCACGACGATCAAAGATTGCAGGCGGAAGTTTTGGAGCGTTTCCCCGACAAACCCCATATTCTAGTTACATACCGCAGTATCATTCTCATTCCACTGTATGCGTTTGGCCACTACTCAAGGATAGTGGAAATGGGTGCCGAGATGGTCAGTCAACTGCGTGGTATCTTTTCGTCAAGACTGGCCACTCAGGTTTACTTTTATCTCTCGTTGGCTACTTTATCCCTGCACTTCGAAGACCCTTTGAGACCTGATTTGGAGGAAAACCTTAAGAAGGTTGAACGATACAAGGAAGAAATTGATTATATGCGGAGCGCCTGCGATGCAAATTATGGAATGTGGTCGTTACTAGTCAAAGCTCTACTGTCTGAACTGAAGAGAGACTTCCAAGGTGCATTGGTAGCATTTGAGGTAGGTGTCGAGCTTACCCCTTTAAGCGGAAATTGTTCAAATTTAACCACTTGGAATCACAGGAAGCGTTGGATCATGCTCAAATTCACAACTGGCCAATTGAAGAGGCCCTCGCTTATGAACTACAAGGTAAAGATATTCTCGCTGCATGATGTTGTACGACAGTTTAATAAAAAAAGAAAAAAAAAAAGGCTCAATGCTAACCGTTTCTTGTGCAGTTGATTTCCTCGTTCGACGTGGGGCTAAACGTGCAGCGCAAATGATGCTGCAGCCAGCTATTTCTGTGTGGAATAGAGTTGGAGCGTCTAGAAAGGCACGACAGCTAACTGAGAAATTCGAATGGCTGATGAGGATTGGCACAGTGTCAAGGACAAACGACGTTGGCTGCCAAACGATCGATTCACTTCTTGGAGTTCAAAAGTCCAACGTTACTGATCCTACGTCTGAAAACCGTGGCCTTAACTCTCTTGAGAGTGGCCATAACCAGAAATGGCTGGAGCAAAACCAAGGGAACGAAGGCCCTTCTGACATAACTGGGGTTGGTCTGGATATAATCGACCTATCTACCATCATCGAATTCAGCCATGTCATGTCATCTGAACTCGAGGTCAACAAATTATTAACAAAGATGGTCGGCATTATCTTGGAATCATGCAGTGGCTCAGAACTTGCCCTTGTGATCACCGAATTCGAATCCCAGGGTTGGTGTGTTGCTGCCTCTGGAGACAATGAAAGCGACCCTATTGCATATGAAAACGGTCTGCCTTTCTCTGAAGTGGAAGATAAAATGGCCCAGCAAATCAGCAACTATACTCTTCGTACAAGGGAGGCAGTTTTGGTGCACAACGTCTTGGAAGACGATCGATTTACTAATCTTAGTGAATCTTATACATCCCGTCATCCACATGGTCGGTCAATAATTGTTCTACCAATCATTCAGGCAAAGAAGTTCCTTGGAGTGATACACATCGAAGGAAAGCCGAATTCTTTTACTCAACGCAATCTGGTACTGTTGCGCCTTGTTTGCAATCAAATGGGTATCTCGCTTGCAAATGCATTCCTTTTCCAGGAGGTGCGGAAAGTGAGGTAAGGTTTATCGTGTTCCAGTCTTGCCACGGAGATGCGCGAACTAACTTCTGCTCTAGTGCTGCTAATGCTGCCATGGTTGAAGCCCAAAAGCGTGCCTTAGTCCAAGCTCGGGAAGCGGAGCATAAAGCTAAAATTGCCGAAGTTGAGGCCAACCATAACGTTAAGCTCAAGGAAGATGCGGCAAAGGCTAAGTCAATTTTCCTTGCAAACATCTCACACGATTTACGCACACCTATGACTGGAGTCATCGGATTATCAGAATTGCTTAAAGCAACCAAGCTGGATCCTAAGCAAGATGTTTACGTTGAATCAATCCGTGTTTGTGCCGACACTCTACTTACATTGATTAACGATATCTTGGACTTTTCTAAACTTGAGGCTGGAAAGATGAAGGTTTCCATTGTCCCGATAAACCTTCGCCAGACAATTGCTGAAGTCGTTCGGGCTCTTCGATATACTCATCGAGAGAAGGGACTAGACACAGTTGAAGACCTTGATAGCATCGATCCTGACCTTCTTGTCATGGGAGATCCTGTCCGTTTGCACCAGATATTTATGAACTTGTTGAGTAATAGCTACAAGTTCACACCAGTAGGTTCCGTGACAGTTCGAGCAATTGTCGAAGAAGACACGCCAGAGAAGATACGTGTAACATGCAAAGTTGCCGACACTGGAATCGGTATTTCGGAGGAGCAACTTGATCGCTTGTTCAGACCGTTCTCGCAGGCCGACAGCTCTACTGCAAGGTCTTATGGTGGTAGTGGATTAGGGCTAAGTATTTGCAAGGCCATCATTGAGGACGTTCTTGGTGGACGAATATGGCTACAGTCCAAGGAAGGTGAAGGAACTACGGTGACTTTCACGCTTGTCTTCAAGAAGGCGGGCAAGGATGCAGTTCCAAAGGCCCCATGGACACAGGAGCCGGGCCATAAGCAGCCACACGCCCACAGATTGCGGGATATTTCTCATATACCCCGCAACGATGTCAGGATTTGCATTGCCGAAGACAATCCAATTAACCAAAAGATAGCCGTGAGCTTCGTCCACCACCTAGGACTGTCGAGTGAGGTGTATAGTGATGGTGAGCAAGCTGTTGAAGCCCTTCGACAGAGATCTAGGGATGGCAAGCCCTTCCATGTTGTCTTGATGGATGTCCAAATGCCAGTGCTCGATGGCTGTGATGCCACACGCAGGATTCGCGAAGATCCAGACCCAAATGTCAACGAGGTGCTGGTCATCGCCATGACAGCAAGTGCCATAGAGGGAGACCGTGAAAAGTGCATTGACGCCGGCATGAACAATTACTTAGCCAAGCCCGTGCGATCTGATGTGCTAAAGGGTATGCTGGACCGGTACCTGGCACCGCAGACGAAGGCTTTGCCAAAGAGGTCAAAGTCATCGGCTGCTGCCTCTCGTTTGATAGAATTACAGGCTACTACTCCGCCTAAACCCCCGCAGCCTGCTCCATCACTTGATGACCGCATCGCTGAAGAGAAGCGGACTAAGGCTGCAATAGACGCTGCGATTGCTGCGGCAACCAAAAGGCGCGATGATACTCCAAATGGCGATTCTATGCCTGAGGAATACACTGAGGAATACACTGAGGAAAACACTGAGGAAAATACCGAGGAAAACACCGAGGAAAACACCGAGGAAAAGAGCCAACCTGTGGAGGAGTCGAGAGTGGAAGAACTTAACGATGACGATGGCACGCCAACGCCTCCGAGCAATGATCCCTCTGTCGACAAGACGCCGACCTTGAACACTAATAATACCCACTAGCTCGACTCTTCAACGCTCTATTAACGACAACAATTTGCTCTGGGTTTACCAACGCATTACAAAGATTTTTTATTCTGAGCAATCGCGGCTATATTGCTTTCCATATTCATTTTTTACCAGATAATAACGACATTTAATATTTTTTTTCCATTTTGGGATATGTGGCAGAGGACCATTCCTCTTTTACCTACTTTCTCATGGCAACGCGGATATGTATATATGGGAACGGGAACATTTGAGACGGTTTTCTTTACTTACGATCAAGAACAGGTAATGGCTTTCTTTTTATTTCTTTCTCATGCTGGTTGGAAAAGACTACGCTCGGCTTGGGAGTGCTGGCTGGCTCAATTGGGATTTGTCCGCAAACATGGTGATCAAAAAAAAAAAAAAAAAAAAGAAGAGAAAAGGAAAAAAAAAAAAAATTATCTGGGTTCGATCATGCTGTACACTCTACTTTCTCTGTTTTCTTATGAATGTCGTTCTTCATTAGTTATAGTTTGTGTTTATATGCCTAAATAAATAAATATATTGTATGAATATGGCAGTTCTTCCTCCTCATGTAGACGACGATCTTTGGCCAAAGATGCGGAATCTCTTGACTCCCCCGTCCGGAACCATAGTGAGCTTTGCGTGCGTTGTATGCTGGCCGGCAACCAAGGCATCTCCCTCGAATACGTGCTCCATATCAGCTTTGCACGGCTGCTCCCCCTTGACCAGCTCAGTCCAGCCGTCATGGTCGAACGGCGGCTCACTGTCTCCCTCGCCCTTCCAGTCGATCGTCTCGACACGCACTGCTCGCGGGAAGTTCCCCCTGAAGTCCTTGGTATCAACGACCACCTTGACGGCCGATCCAGGCAGGCCCAACTTCACGATGACCCAGTCGACATGGCCTCGTTGGCGGGAGCGTGCAGTCTCCCATCCATCGCCCATGTCCTTCCCTCGCCCGGGCAGCAGGAGGTTAGATGCCGGCGTAAAATGCTGGTTGCTCGCAGCCAGGGCCAGTCCACCCATCAGCGCCGAAGAGAGCTCTTCCACGGGGTGAGCCTGGCCCTGAGCCGATGCTAGAGACGGTGGCAGGGCGTGGCCGTAGAGTCTGAGCCTGGAGAACCCGCCGTCGGGATACATGCGCACTCTGATATGTGTCAACGGGCCGGTTGGCTTGGGCAGTTTCCAGGCCTGACGCATCGAGGGGCCGCATGGCTGCTGCGGCAGGATGGTCTCCCATCTGGAGAAGCTGTCACTGATCATCTCTTGCTCGCTTGCGGCCGATGCAGGGTCGGCGGCGGGCAGATACGCTGCCTCGACGAGGACATGCTCGCCGTAGTTGCCGACGAAGTATGCGGTATCGATCTCGATTCCCTCGATGATCCCACTGCCTACACCGAGCTTGATGAGTGCCCAGTCGTACTCGGCGGGGTTATGGCGTCTGGTCTCCCATCCGTCGTACCAGGCCCCTGTGTGGACGAAGACGCCTGGCCTGTGGATAGGGGCGCCGGGGGTGAGCAGGTTCGATGCGGCGGCGAAGTACTCGTCGCTACAGGCCAGGACAGTCGAGTTCAGGGCAGATGATGCTAGATTGGTCGTCTTGGAGAAGCACTTGTCTATCTCCTCACGGGGAACGCTGGCGGCCATGGTCGATTATACAGGGAGAGTAAGTATGTATACAACAGCTTGCTCGTTGATATTGCTACTTACCTTGAACAGGGACAGTCTTCTCCCTCTTATACTTGCTATACCGAGGGCAAGACAAGACGGCAACCCCCGCGAGATCTGCTAACTAACGCCCAGTTGCGCGGATGCCGCCGTAACTAAGCAGTTATCCACCAGTCTAGCCATTAGTTATTCTTATACCGCTGGGCTGAAGCTACCGCCACCTTCAACGGCAAGGGACTCCAGCCCCAACTTTCTCGAAACCATATTAAAATATATATATATCAGTTGATTAAGGCGTTCGTTTGCCTTTATGGTTTGTTTTATGCTATCCGGTTAAGCCTAGGGGGATGATTCATTAGGGTTATTATAAGGACCTCCTAGGGGATATATACTCTTGTGGCTATCTTTGGTAGAAAGGTGAAGGTTGATTGTCTATCTAATATGGGATTGCCCCTTTTTAGTTACACGATCACTGCTTGGTGATGGCATGGACCACGGTGATCTCCCCAGTGTAATGGACAGGTATTCTAAATAAGGATATATAGCGACTCTTTCTGCAGCCATTGAGGGGGCTTCTCCCTTCTGACCCTGTGGTTTGATTCTTACTCTAAGGCTGGCTGAGGATAAGGGCTGGGGATGTCCTAAATGTCCATTCTCCCTTTAATCCACAAATTTCCTCACCTTCCCTCTGTTCCAGAGAGGAGTTTTCGGGCCGTTGAATCAATTATGATGCCATGTGAATTTCGTTTCCCGATGATAACTATGATTGGAGATCCTGAAACGGATTTTTTTTTTTTTTTTTTTTTTTTTTTTTTTGAAAGCTGTCTGCAACATAGATAGCAAAAGACGTACATAACCCGTCTCCTCTTCCACAATGCAGTGAACTTTGAAGGCAGTGTTTTCTCGAGTTCTCTTTTGGTAGTGGGTTATAGTCGTAGTCAATGTATGGGTCACGTAAAAATCCGCCCATCCTCGACGTGCTGGGTCGAGCAAAAACTCCACCATTAAAACAGAAGTATACACGGACGTTTCCCAGGCATTTCAGTAAGTAGATTCTGGTTGCTCTATAACCCTTGCCTGTTGGAGGCTGTAGCTCTGTCACTGGTGTTGGAGCCTGTAGAAGGCGAGCTAACCGTCTCCTGTAAGGGAGAGGTGGTTTTGGCCATAGCCGGGTATAATAAAGGGGTCCCTGAAGGATGTAACAGCGTTATATGAGCTCTCTACGGAGTATTTGAAGAAGAAGAAGAAGAAGAAGAGAAAGAGGGAGGGTGGCCTCAGGGATAGATACTTATACCTCGAGCTGCCGGGTTAATGCGGGGAGTGACAGCCCCTGAGCCGTCACTACCAGACAGCGGCCTGCAGTGACTCGCCTATTCACTCGGTCAGCAGCCAGCCAGCAGTTGTTCGTATATCTTAGTGAGGTAGCAGCTGGTTAGTCTGTCAGTTTGGAGTGAGCTTGCCTGCTGGTGCTGGATTTGAATACGGCGACGCTGACTGGCTGCTCCAGGGATGACAAGCCGGACCAAAACTGTGAAACGGCGCGAGGGATGATGCAATAATGTTTTGCGATGCTGCTCGTCCGGTCCTCCTCCTCCTCTCCAGCTTGCCAACACCAGGAAAAGCGGGCATACAGGCCAATTATAGACCGAGATAACGCTGCTGCGATGGCCTCTGCAACTGGCATTCCGGAAGAGCGGGCGTCCGCCCTGCCAGGCGGCGTCGAGAACGAGCCGCTGCTCGGGGAACCGGGCACAGTGACCCAGCGCGAGGACCAGAGCATCTTCACCAACCTGATTACCGGTAGGTCTGCGGGCAGCGGTGGATGGGGATCGACGGCCGGTGGTGGATGGAACGCTGACTCTGCGCTTCTAGGGACTGCGAGCCTGGCGCAGGTTGGGATTCTGATCGTAAGTCGCTTCGCCATCTCCATGCACATATGAGTCGACTGTGTATAAGACTGACAGGCTGATCAGAATGTTGCCCTCGTCTGGTCCGGGATTTTCACTCACGACCTCATCTTCTTCTCGCCGCACCCGGTAAGCTGGCTGTCGCCATCCATTATCATATAACACGGTCTATATACGGAGTACTGACTACGGTGACAGCTCCTCAACTCTGTCGGAATCCTGCTCACTGTGCAGGCAATCCTCGTCGTACAGCCAACCAGGACCCCCCAGCAGAAGCAAGCCGGTGCTCTCACGCACTTTGGATTCCTCGCCGTCGCAAACCTGGCCTTCATCTCGGCCCTCATCATCATCGAGATCAACAAGCAGAGCCACCCGGAAACCCGTTTCTCCTCTGTCCATGGAATTCTCGGCCTGATAACCTACATTATCATCCTCCTGCAGTCGGCCGTCGGTGTTGCGCAGTACTTCTTCCCAGAGACCATCTTTGGCAGCGTCGAGAACGGAAAGAAGATATACAAATGGCACCGTGTGAGCGGATACGTACTCTTCGTCTTGGAATTGGCAGTAGTTATAGCTGCTACAAAGACGGATTATAACGTCAAGACCCTGCATATTGGATTCTGGCCAGTCATCATTTCAGCATTTCTTACCTTTGCCGGCGTCGTTGCGAGAGTCAAAAGGTACAAGCTGCCGGCTTTCTTACGAGGATCGACTTCTGCACCAAGAATATAAGCAGCTCGCTCTGCTCTTGTCTCTGCTGTCCTTTCTGGTATATCCCATCGGTATTGCTTTATGACTGATGCTCTCCTCTCGTCCTTCCAGCCGTCCGTTTCGGTGCTTGTGTCTGCCTCTTATTCTTACTTTCTATTCAACACACAGCTCTACTCCCGTTAGCTTTTATTAGCATTCGAGAGATAATAAATAAATACTTTACTTATGCATATATCATTAATACTAGCTACCTTGTGAATAGAGTGATTCTTGCGTGTAAATATCATCCGATATTATCCTCCTACTTCTCAAACTTACTAGGCGCATTCCAACTTCAAAGTTCGACGAGAGAAAATCATCCAACTTTCCAGCCCAGAAACCCTCGAACAACAGGAATTGTCACCGAAGCCGACCCCAATGAGGCCCTCCTCGCTATACATATGCCTCAATTGCAGGTTATCACTTAGACCTCCCACTCGGAACGTCGCCTTCCCTCGTCGCGTTATCAGTACAGCGTCGTCTCGACCGCCAACTGCTCCGAAGCCAGTCCCAAATGTCCGCCACATCCGCGAAAACGCAGAATTATACTCGAAGAACTGCTTAGATCGCAATTATAAGCCAGTCGCAGACTACCCGCCGAGAATACAGTCTCTAGCCAAAGAAGCCTCGGATTTGCAGCATGCCTTGAAGCATCCTCGAGCTCGAATAAAGCAGGTTGAAAAAGAGATAGGCAAGCTTGCTACTCTTGCTGGGCGCCAGCAACTGGAGCCGGAACAAAAAGGAGACCTGGATGCGCTTCGACAAGAAGCAAAGGAGCTCAAGGATGCCTCGCAGCAGATGATGGACCGGAGAGAAGAGTGTATGGAGGAAATACAGCAGTTGGCGTTGTCGTTACCAAATCTTACGTCGAAGGACACCCCAGTTGGAGACATTCCTCGCATCGTCACATACATCAATTTCGATCCTGAATCCCCTCTCTCGTATGCATCACCGACTTCATCGACTGCTGCCATCCCACGGTCCCACGTCTCAATTGGCACTGAGCTGGGTCTATTAGATTTCACCAGCTCAGCAACGTCAACCGGCTGGGGATGGTACTTCCTCACCAACGAAGGCTGTCTCCTCGAACACGCTCTTGTCCAATACGCCCTAACCACAGCTCGTAAGAAGGGCTGGAAACCTGTCTCTCCGCCGAGTGTTGTATACTCTCATATTGCCGAAGCTTGCGGCTTCCAGCCCCGAGATGCGAACAACGAGCAACAAATTTGGTCTATTCAGCAGACGGAGAGAGACAAGGCTGCACATAAACCACAGCGCAGTCTGACAGGAACTGCCGAGATACCACTTGCTGCGATGTACGCAGGCCAGGAAATTCGGGCTGAACAGCTTCCCCTAAAGTTTGTGGGAGCAAGTAGATGCTATCGAGCTGAGGCTGGCGCAAGAGGTGTCGATACCAAGGGGCTATACCGTGTGCACGAATTTACTAAGGTCGAGTTATTTGGCTGGGCAGACAACATTGAGCAGGACGGTACGGGTGCGAATACCAATGGAATAACGTCGACCTCTCTCTTTGAAGAAATGCTTTCTATCCAAACAGATATTCTCTCTTCTCTCAATCTGCCATGCCGAGTATTAGAGATGTCGTCTTCGGACCTCGGCGCGAGTGCAATTCGAAAAAGAGATATCGAAGTCCTATTCCCGTCCAGAATACCAAACAAATCAGACAGTTCATCTGTGCTGGACCCTGGTTACAGTGGCTGGGGCGAAGTCACTTCGACTTCCATATGTACGGACTACCAGAGCAGACGGTTAGGAACAAGGGTGCGTGACGGTTCAGGGGTTTCAAGGTTCCCGCATACCGTCAACGGAACCGCTATGGCCGTCCCGAGAGTACTGGCAGCAATATTAGAGCACGGATGGGATGAAGCCCTAGGTGGCGTCGTTGTCCCTGAGGTGCTGAGGCCATGGATGGGTGGACTGGAAGTTATTCGGGGAAATAAATGAATCTAGAATAGCGAATCTCCTGTAATATACATGTACGATAATGGCAACTAGAGCATTACTATACCACAATTTGACTAATGCATGAGGAATAAGTCAGCTACAAGTAAGTATAGGTAAGTGTCATCCATTTATCTTTCTACCATGTCGTCTATAGTCCATTGATTGAATCTTGCCAGCTAGGAAGTGAACATGCGCGGCTACTTGCCGCTAAAGTTAGACATCCTCCTCCTGTATTTGTTACCAGATACTTGAGCACCTACCTACCCAGGTACATAGGTGGGCTCTCTTTCGAGGTCAGAGGGGGGTTTTGAAATTGGCAGGCTTGCTTTAAACCTTGAGAAGGTTAATTGTTGACATCCACCAGTGATCAATATGGCAGATACTCATACTTTGTACCCCGATGAAGCTCTGACTCAACGTAACAACTACTCAGGGGTCGTGTCTCCTGAGTTCATGTTTCCTCAAGCTATCACATCGTGTAATGCTTACGTTTGATGTACATCTAGCTTCCACTGATGTGACTGGCTTCAGGTAATCCTCAGGTACTGTTAGGATAAGTACAACCCGTGTGCTTGCAACCGAAGCCCCGGACACTCTTTTATGATGGGGTCATTAGCCCCAACAATGCCAATTCTTCAGCAGCGTTTTTGGTAGGCATCAATATATATCGGCAGGGGGTATCAATGTTCGCGAGGAAGAATTTACCCAGTCCGAATCCCTAGTCCTTCTATAAAGATACAGCTCGAGTACAAAGTACAAATTAACAGCATGGAGTACTCCGCACTTAACCTTCTTTGGTCTAGTATAAAACTTGTATTGCCAAGCTTTAACTCACTCCTTAACTTTATCGATGGAAAGGTCCACGACTATTCCGATTTTAGTTAGTGCCACGGGCCGCAGGATACCCCGAAAGCTTTTATTTGATCCATTGCCAGTGGAACCAACAGAACCTTTGCTGTCCTGGCGCTTCAGGGCTCTCTCTATACATACACTGGGTCATTATTGGGTTATAGTTAACTATTATCATGATGATACCAAAGGCCTTCCCAAGGCTATCGAGGCGATCTCTCTCCTCTCTTTTTCAGAGGCGTGTCCCCGTTTTTTGTCGAGGCACGTAAAAACCTGACAGTTATTACCTATCTTATCTGACTTTGACAGGCAAACCCATCAGCCACGAAGAGGTATTTCAGTACAATAATGGGCATTTCCTTGTCGATAAAGAGTATCAGTTTGCCAGACGCTACATACGGTTCAATATTGACGAACTATGCAACCTTGTTTCATCAGTTGTTGCCAAAGGCACTTCGACGGTTTCAAAAGTCGCGAAGATGGAAAAAGTGGAGGGAGGGTTCCATAAAGCACTTTTAATGACCCTTGAGAACGGGACCGAAGTCGTTGCCAAAATTCCTTGTCCAAATGCGGGTCTCCCGATGCTTTCAACCGCGTCCGAGGCTGCAGTACTAGAGTTCGGTGAGCAATACCACCACTATTCTGAGAGAGAACTTATCTAAATTTAGTAGTCCGGACACATACAACAATTCCGGTCCCCAAAGTTTTGGCCTGGAGCTCAGATTCCAAAAACCCAGTTGGGGCTGAGTATATTATATTGGAGAAGGCGAAGGGCGTTCAATTGACGAAAGTCTGGGGAGACCTCCCTGAATCCCGTCGTCTAGATATAATAAAAAAACCTTGTTCTGATAGAACAACAACTATTATCTCTTCAGTTTCCAGCCTATGGGAATCTTTACTTTCGACACTCGATCCCAAACCTGCCGCATGTGCCCCTAGACAAGGAGCTTGATCCATCTAGTCAATACTGCATCGGGCCAGCAGCCAGCCTCCAGTGGGCTGATGGAGGTAGAACTCCAGAATACAGCTCAGGACCTTGTACGCCTTTAAATTCAAACCGGGTAATGACTTTAACTAATTTCTTCTTAGGGATGAATCTGCAAGAGTTTGGGGAGTCCCTTGCCAAACGCTGTTTATGTAAAGGATTTCCTACTGTGAGGGCTGCAGGATGTCGGCCACCAAGTTATGGTACTCCATCTTCCCATAAGTCGGTTCTGGAATCCGCGATGAATATCCTACCGGCAGTCTCAAGCCACCCAAATTTGGTAAAGACCTCTACGCCTGTGCTCTTACACCCGGATTTACACATGGGGAATATCTTTACCACAGAGGAAAGTAAGGATACCATAAGCATTACCGGTATTATTGACTGGCATTCAATTTCGATTGCACCGAAGTTTTTACAAGCGCGGTGGCCGGTATTCCTTGAACCTTTAGATAGTTACACCCCTGGCTTGATAGAAAAACCTGAGCCGCTATCTGGGCTTGAAGAAATGGATGCTGCGGATAGAGCAGTGGCCAAGGTCACCTATGAGCAGAACTACCTCGCAAAGGCCTATGAGGTGTGTACAGGCGCCTTTAATACCCATTTGCATACTGCGTTACTGGTCCCATCGGCACTGAAGGAAATATATATACGCTGCGGAGAGACATCTGTTGATGGGATTTTCCCCCTTCGCTCCTGCTTAGCTGAGTTATATAAATACTGGTCGGATCTAAGATTCATGGAGCCTTGCCCCATACATTTTACTGAAAGTGAGCTTTCACAGTACGAGGAAGAACTTGCAAAATACGAGGAATGGAATGATCTCCAAGTTCTGGTTAAAAGAGCGTTGGACACTGATTCGGAGGGCTGGATATCTCCCGTATTTGACTGGAATGAAAAGAAAAACCAACATGTAGAGCTATACCAGATGTTCGCGAAAAAAATGCTGGCCGAAAATAAAACCATCGATGAAATCAAGCAAATGTGGCCCTTCCCAATTAGCTCATAGGGAGCAGCAAACAAAAACCGAATGTCCAACCCTACATGGTCTATTCCGTGCCACTGAATTCCTTCCAGAGATTGATGTCTGTCATAGATCTCATGCTATGGCCCTGCCTTACAGCGACGATATTCCTGTCTCTCAACCACGGGAAAGGTACGGACTGAAACCATATCAAAGATTAGACATCTCATTTCTCCATATTATTCTGGGTTATTCCATACCTTAACCCATGTTCTCTCTTGCGTGGCTGCATTTGGAGGTCGAGAGATGGGATATCTCCAAGCGTTGGCGACAGGGTCATCCACGCCGGGGTTCAGCGTCAGCCATAACTACTAGTTAGCCGGTTGATTGATAGCACGCCGGTTCGAAGATAACCTTGGGCCTGGTCGTAACTATTCAGTTAGCAGTACTCCGTCAACTAAGCAGTATCGATAGACGAGGTGGTAGATGCTGGCGAAGGAGGTCGAAGTCGAAGAGCCGGATGCTCATCACAACTTGTTAACTAAGTTAACTAACTGGGGCCTCGGCCATACAACGATCTCTCTAGCTTACTACTACGGCACCAATCCATTACCAAGATGTTACCGGCTCCAGATACCCTTAACTAGATGGGAACTATGTGTCATTATGTTGGCCTTATATAAGATATTGAAACACACGTACAAGTAAGAAAAGATCACTATTATATAAAGAGTTAACACTTACTAATTGATTTTAGACAATGTTATGGCACGAAGTTTTCTATGCAGAGAGGAGACGGTGCGTCCTGCGAGTTTTCTATGGGAGGAAGGTAAGTATTCAAGTTATAAGCGACTAACTATAAGAGATAGGCTAATTTATATAAGGAGGAGAGCACAAGATGTAGAAATGGGGCCATCCCCAGCTCCAGCCCCGACGACTCCAGCTCATTAGAATGAACTTTAAGCCTCACAGAAACTCGTGAACAAGATATCTATGGCTCAATTTAAAGAATTCCACCCTTGTCTATTTGCTATGTTCATTGCAAACAGCACGTCCTGGTTGTAGAACATAGCGCTCTTGCTTCAGAGTTAGAAGTCGCTGACCAGTTACCCAAGGCAGTGACACTACCAATGGATTACCCGCCATGTTGCTATGAGACTCCTGCCTTTCTATAACTACCTAGCATAAGCAAATGCTTGAGAAGAAGGTGTGTAGGGACCAATGCTAGCAGCGTAACCGGGCTAAGCGCTGAAAATTTAGTTGCCAGTGCCTAAGGAAGCTGAGAACATCCAAATGACTTCTGCTCCTAACCGCTAGGACGTTGCGCATCAAACCAACACCCGTTTGTTTCTCTTGCAATCCTAGGCGTCGAGAAAAGAACATCTAGTTGGTCACTCTGACATGCACCCCTCGTATCAAAAGGAATATTGATAGGACGATACCTGCAGACAAGATGTTGGTGATTGAGGGCGATGTAGGGGGCCTCTATTTTTGGCATCTCATAGCCTGTCAATGTCTATGGGATGAACAGGGGTTTAGCGCTGTCCCTACATCCCCACCCTTGCATTAATACCCATGGAATACTTGTGGACTAGAATAGCCTCTGTGCTTGCCGCCCAGCTTGACTCATGGTGCAATGGAGGGAATTGGGTATAAAGACCCAATCCCTTCCTCCATTCTTAATCTTGTCAAGTCGAAATACCATTCAAAGAAATCGATTTCTTCATCATTCAAACCAGCCCGCCAGAATTTCTCCTCCTATTCTCGCACTATCCCTGATCATTCACCATGTCCAAAGCTTTGAAGGCTTTTGGTATTTCTTTCGTCGAGAGCTTCCAAAAGCTGTACAAAGAGCATACGCCTGGGGCGCGTATCTTCCCCCCTAAGACGGACAAAAATGACAAAAATGCCCAACTTCATGTTGATGCTGGGGAGGTAATTAATGGCCGCAAATATGTCTATCTCCAGGTGAACACGCAAGCAACAAACGAAGCTCTTAGGAAGTGGGTGAAGAAAAACGGAACACATGCAAGGCTTGCGACTGCTTCCTTTGACGTCAACACTAAGGACGAAAATAAAAAGGATGTCTGCGAAGAAATTTGGTCTACATTCCACCAGCAGGCCATCAGAGAGCCCCCAGGATGTTATATAGCCATTTGGGCGGTGCCTCGTTGACAAAGGAGTCTCTGGAATACCAACCTTCACTGCCATTTGACTGTCACTTTTCCTGTCGAACCTTTGCTAGTGAATAATTTTGGCCAGCCAGGCTCTCTTTTTCATTCACCATGCCGGACAACGAGATTGATCAAGAGGCCAAGCCATCTGGCTTCAAGAGCTACAGACGCATCTTCCGCTATGCTGATCGAAAGGCCTGGTTTCTTTACTCTATATCCTTCCTTGCCGCTACTGTCTCTATCTTGGGCATTTTTTATGGATGGAAACTTGGCCTCGTGTGTGTCCTTGCTGCTCTGCCCCTACTGCTATTAAGCGGTTACTTCCGTATCCATCTTGAGAGCAAGCTGGAGGAAGATACTTCTACACGCTTCGCCAGCAGCGCTGCAATTGCAACGGAAGCAGTCTTAGCTATAAGGACAGTATCATCCCTTACTCTGGAGAACAGGATTCTTCAAATATACCAAGAAAGACTCGACGTAGTTGCGCATCAGTCTGTAAAAACCCTGACTTTTACAACGTTTTGGTACGCCTTGACTCAATCTATTACCTTCCTAGCTATGGCCCTAGGCTTCTAGTACGGCGGGAAACTGGTATCTACACACGAGTATAGCAACGAGCAATTCTTCATGGTAGCTCAAAAAAGGTCATTTCCGACATCAATATCAGAATTCCTCCGGGATAATTTGTCGCATTTGTTGGCCCATCAGGCTGTGGAAAGTCAACCATGATCAATCTCCTCTGCCGCTTCTGTGATCCAACCACCTGCTTCATCACCTTTAATAACCAAGCAATCCATGAAATTGACCTACATGACCATCGCCGGCGTTTAGCCCTTGTTCAGCAAGAGCCTGTACTATTTCAGGGTAGTATCAGGGAGAATATTGCTATGGGCTTGATTGATTCGAATGAGGCAACAGAAGCACAGATAGAGCAAGCCTGTAAAGATGCAAATATCTACGGATTCGTCTTGTCTTTACCTGACGGGCTTGGGAGTGAAGTCGGCCTTCGTGGCTCTAAACTCTCTGGCGGCCAACGCCAGCGTATTGCTATTGCTCGAGCTCTTGTTCGAGATCCCAAAGTACTGCTTCTTGATGAAGCAATAAGTGCCTTAGATACAGAAAGTGAAAAGATGGTCCAGGACGCTATAAACGAGGCATCCAGGGGTGGCAAAAGGAGTATAGTTGCAGTGGCTCATAAGCTCAGTACTATTCAAAGCGCTGATACCATCTATATCTTTCAGGCAGGGAGAATTGCTGAGGCTGGTACTCATATCGAACTGCTGAGCAAAAAGGGTGATTATTATAAGATTTGCCAGGGACAGGCATTAGATACGGCTCTGGGCTAACTAAGGGGCAAGTGGAAGCGTGGTATGGCGGACTATTTGTGCCATAGACTTGTTTTTATAACCACGCAGAGAGGTGGTTTCCTAATTATATATAATATAAAGAGATATTATTAGATAGGGGAAAAGGTACCACTCATTAAGTAAAACCTCTATGTTTTATCTTACTTAGGTATCTAAGTGTCCTTTTTCTTAAGGATACTCTCTTCTTCCTTTTTAGCCCACGGCCTAGCTTTTTTCCCTAAGTCCGCCCCTTTTTAGGTCTGCCCCCTAAGTATGGGGCACCCTAAGCTTACTCTTTCCCCTAAGTATCCTTCCTCCTCTAAGCCTGCTCCCCCCAAATACTATGTAAGGGCAGCCCCTAGTAAGATGGATCTAGAGAAGAGGGTGAGGGAGTACTTTATAGATAGTTAAATAAAGAGTACATAGTTAAAGAACTTATAAGTAAGTGAAGAATCTAAGGAGAGAGAGTAAGCTTAGAAGGGAGAGTAAGCTTAGGGGGCCCTATACTTAGACCACATCCTCCAACACTATGGGCGGACGAGATAAAGTCTGTCAGCCTATGATGTACACGTCGCTTTCTTGCTTCCGGTGATAATTACATATGCAACGACCCCGGAGTCCAGAGTAAAGCTGCGCGCCGCACGATCCTTGTGCATCGTAATTGGCATTGCTCCGCCTGCAGCAAATACCATCAATAACGGCACAAGATGTCATGATGTCAAGAGGGGCAGCACGCCCTGTCAGTCAACATTTTATTGCAAAAATGACCAAGTTTATATCTAGGCATGCATGGTAACAGTAAAGAGAAGATGTGCTTTTTGGACGTATGGAGCAAAGGGCAGGGGAGGGGGTGTTTGACTTGGTCCGGGGCAATAATAGCTCAGCAGGGAACTTGTAGGGCTTATGGACTATATTGGCAGGGTTATTATTGCCCCTTGCCTGTGAGTTTCGAATGCTGGAAGAGCCGCTTCGCCTTTCAGCCTCCCTGTCCTCCGAGCGATTGCCGCTGCCTGGCGTTATTGGTAGTGTTGTAGAGTAGATATACCTAGATCGGCTCTTCAAGGCACTTGACAAGGAGCTTGCTGCTAGAGGGAATAAAGGCTCTGTTGATGCGAGTGAGATTGAAATTGATATGGATTGGGATAAGGAGTAGAAGATGCTTCGCTTCGGCAAAGATTAAAGGAGGCCATATCATCTTGCATGGAAATTTCTTTTATATCTCCCAATTTGGAAATAGTAATTTCATAGCTATATGACTGTACTTCCAATTCTCATGACAGATTGACACAGGGGGTATGTCTTAAGCCTGGGGTGTCTGTATGCAGAATATGCCATCGCCCGGGTATATCTCATCAAATTCAGTCCTGGGCAGCAGCCCAGTCCCATAATCCCGTTGACTCGGCATTTTTGTCATTCTTCAAATCCCAAACAAGCACTTCCTTTGGCAGATCCTCTACCTTGCAATCAGCAGACTGAGGGAAGAAAGTCTGTATAACTTTCTTTCGAATCACCTTGTCAGTCGTCGTCCGTGGAATGACATCGTCGTCTTTGAGAATGCGGAGAAGAGTTGGCAGCTTGTATTGCGCAACCTTCAGTTCTGTAAGATCTCGCCTTACTTTAAATAGCATGTTTGATGCAGGATTTCCATCCGGGCCTAAGATGTTGGCGTCTTCTTCTTTGAACGACGGCTTGAGACGGGCAATGACAGCTACCCGGTGCAAGATCTCCATGTCCGGAACAGCAACGACGTATGCTTCTGCCAGGTAAGGCAGCTCTGACAACTTATCTTCGAGCTCAAGGGTTCCCACTTTGAGCGTTCTCGAACGGACGACTGTTGGGGAGGTTAGTATGACCCTTCTTTGAAAGGAGGATATATTGACACGATAGGGACGAAGATGCACTCACAATCCTCGTTGACTCGGCCATCAATAACGTAGTTCCCGTCTTCCTCAATGTGCGCCAAATCACCCGTCTTGTAGAACCCGTTCTCGTCCACTGCCGCCTTTGTAGCAGCCTCATTATTAAGGTATCTACAAAGGAGTTAGTATAGCCCCAGTAAAACTAGCAAGGTCAATGAACTCACCCAAGGAACAGGTCACCGCTTTTCAACAGAATCTCTCCATGGTCACCTTCGGAAAGTTTGACTTCAACACCAGGCATTGGCTTGCCTATCACACGCTATCCATAATGATACGTTAGAATAAAGCGGAATCGAGAAGCATTGATGACCCGGGAGAAATAAGAGCGGACATACCTTCGTGACATCATAGCCTTCAGGGGTTGTGCTTGTCCCTCCACCACCCTCGGTTGTGCCATAAAGAATGGTAATGGGGATGCCGCCACGCATGTCTTTCCAGAATTGTCCGACAGAGGGCATGGGAACTGCACCACCACAACCGATATATTTGATTTTCTTCATTCCTTCACTGTATTCCTTTACCTTTTCGGGTTCGAGCACGGCCAGATGCTCTTTATAATACTGCATCAGACGAAGCAAGGTCAGATTGGTAGCGTAAGCCATCGTTATTTTCTGCTGACGGATAACCTCCCATATTTGCTCTGGGCTGGGGTCTGGATCAACAATGTATATGGCTAACCCGTTCGATATTGAAGCTACTGGAGGATATATTCCGAATCCCCAGTGGACAGCACGGTGGCACAGCGCGAGGTCTTCGTTCGAAGCACCGGCCACAGTACGGAGGTCGTACGCAGGCATTGTGCGAATAACTCCTTTGGGTGGGCCGGTGGTGCCAGATGTATGGAGGAGAATAAATGGTCGGCGTGGGGAAAAGACGATATTCTCGTTGATATGGTACTGGCGTTTTGTTGACGGAACTGGAACGTTGAGATCTACGCCAATAACTTTGATAGCCTGTCCAGTCTCGTTTTTGATGTGACTCTGGATTGCGACAGCTGCATCGCACTGACTCGCGCTGGCTATCAGGAGCACGGCTTTGTTCCTTTGGATGAGAAACGAGACCTCCTGTGGTGTAAGGCCAGTTGCTATATAAGGTAATCGTTAATATCCACACAGTATCCCAAAAAAACGACGAGAAATAACGCATACCCAGCGGTGACACCGCGGCTCCCACTGCCCATACGGCAAAGGTAGCTACGAAAATCTCATAACTTGCCGGTGCAAGAGTGCAGATATATACACCTTCATCACGGATGATCCCGTTGGAGTCGAGAAGATCTGGGATCTGCTCACGGACGGTGCGTCGCAGCTCGACAACGTCGTTCATGAAACGATCAAAGGTGGCAGTGATGTCATTGTTAGGGTCATGAACGATAACCCCATCATTCAAAGGGATAGACTTGATGAGCTGTTGGAAAACAGGGTGATTTGGGAAGCCTTCGGTTGCCATGTTGAAATGCTTCCTTATACTGCGCGAAGGGTAGCTAGTCAAATGTGCTTTCTAGGCCAAATATCTTCGATAAAGTCTCTCCATGTTGCACCGAACGAAGTGGGATGTCGTTCGTGCTTATCATGTCAATGTCCTGTGCACCTCGGACTGGCCAACTACCCGAGCTTTTTGCCTGGGCGGCAGCTGCGCAGACGTCATGCAAGGCTACGCATCACATTAACAAGGGTGAGCCAGAGCAAATATGCCGTTTAGCCCGTGGATTGGAGGCATGGCTCGAACTCGGTTGGGCCTTTCAGCTGGTCGCAAAAGGTCCATTTCTTTATTATCCCTGGTGCATGGACTAGCAAGACGCACTGATCGACAGTTTGTTGTTCTTGTGTTGCAGCCTGGCGTGCCTATCGTGTATAAAACGAGCACACCTCCTGCATAACTCGGGTATCGCGATGTCTAGACATTCAGCAGCATCCAGGGATGGCGCAGTCCAGGACATCTGATGTAGCGATGTCGTTGGCCGTGAGTCGTTAAAAGTGTTATTGCACAAAGCCAACGGTCTTAGTCAGCATAGATGTGGACGAGAAGGGCAAAAAGAACGACGCCTCAAACGCTCGAGATGGACGCAGCAACGACATCGCCAGCCAAAAGACATCTTATATTCTCTCGTTCGTCCGGATAACCCGCTGTTGGTCGGCATAAAAAGCACGCCAGGCAAGGGTTGCACGGCTGCGAGTCTGAGAACGCCCAACCCCGGTATTTTTTATCTGCAGCAGCGATTGGACATTGCCAGCCAACGGGCCTTCCGCTCCCCCGTCGACTAATCAATCGGGGCTCTGCCAGGTTGCTTCTGTCTTGCAGGCCGGCCAAGGAGCTAGAAATTCTGCAGAATCAGCCAGGGACTTGTCCAGAAGATCCCCCTTGCCAGTAAAGAGCCAGTAAGATCGTATTTCCCGCGCTGACATTCTAAAAAAAACCAATAACTTAGCCTTCGAGAAGTTTTCTTCACCTCGAGGCTGACGTATGAGTAGACCGTCCAACTGCCTCGAATGACTTGACTGGGAATTGGCTAGTTAGCGGGTCGAGAAACCCCCATCACTTTATCAGCTTCCCCATATTTTCTGTTGCAGTTGACGAACAATGGAGAACCACTGGCCCAAGGACGGGGATTCAGGGTCTAGCGGACCAAAAGAGCAGAGAGAACCTGAGTTCGCCGGATACAACGAGGCAGACGACGAGACATTGGACCGGATATACCGCAAATTAGATATACGTATCATACCGCCGCTATGGACGCTCTACTTCCTCTGTTCTGCCATCCGATCCAACGTCGGGTTGGCCCAGACGATGAACCTCAAGGAAAAACATGACCTGGGCCATGTGCTACATCTGACGCCCCGGCAAATCTCAACGAGTTTGGCACTGTTCTATGTGTGCTATATCATATTCGATCTACCTTCGAACCTGATTATGACCAGACTAAGTCCTCATGTCTGGATGAGCCGGATAGTCATCAGTGTTGGCGTGATAGGGGCGTTGATGGCAGCTGTCAAAGCCGCGTGGTCGTTATAGTTCGTATATGCCCTGCCCAATCCATGGATTCAACTGCTTTCTATATCTAATCAAATTATGGAAACTCTAGTCTCCTCCGTCTGCTGCTTGGAATCGTGATAGCCGGCATGTGGCCTGGCATGGCATACTATCTATCACTTTTCTACCCTCCCGCCCGCACCGGCCAGCGTATAGGCTTCTACTTCACAGCCGCCCAAGTATCCGCTGCAGTCGTTGGGCTAGTATCAGCTGGGTTCCAGAAAATGGACGGCCTGCAGGGCCTCGTGGGCTTCCAATGGATGTTCCTCATCTGGGGTCTGGTCGGTACTGTGATGGGAATAACCTTGCTATGGTGGCTACCAGACCGACCAGTACCACCAGGCGAATCCCGCCCGCCTCGCTCGGCCTGGCTTCGATGGATACCCAACACCACACCGGCCCTATCCGGCCGCGACGAAGAGCTACACTATGCCGATGTGCAGCGTGTTTACAAGAAGGTCCAATGGGACTGGTCGGATGTTCTTCGCATACTGTGCGACTGGCGCCTCTGGCCCGTGACGATAATGTACTTTGGCGTCGTGGGCGTTGGTATCGGAGTCCAGAGTTACGGCACGGTCATCATCCGGGCGGCCATCCCTTCGCTGACGGGCGTGCAGCTGTCGTTGCTCTTTGCACCGATCTGGGTGATGGACCTGATAGCCATACTGATCATGACTCCGATATCCGATGCGTTCCATCACCACAGACCGGCAATATTCATATTTTCGTGTCTGATATTGCTTACTGGCTTGCTGCTTACGACCTTCACGCACACCTGGACTGCATACGGCGGCCTGTTGATTGTAGGCTTTGGCCTGGGCCCGACGGTGCCTATCACCATGTCCCTAACCGCTGAGCTGTTTGGCGCAAGGTACGGTGACGTCGGCGTTGCTGCTTCAACGGCTATAGTGAGTGGACTGGGCAACCTGGGCAGCATTGTGAGTACATATGCGCTGTACACAGGCTGGGAAGGGGACGTGAAGAGGGGGTATAGGGGCAGCAACGGGGTGATGTGCGGGATTGTTGGCGGGAGTATTCTGGCCGCTGTGGTTGTGGGGATGATAGTCTGGGGCAAGCAGAAGGAGGAGCAGCGTGGATGGAGAGGCGTCTGGTGGGCGAAATGGCTGATCGGATGAAAAGCAGTTGATTTTTGTATGATAATTGGGAATATTGGATAAATGACGGTCATTTAGCAATTAATAGTTGAACGGTCTTCATTTTTGTAGAAGTATCCTATGTTCCCTCCATCGGCGTTCATAGTCCGCTCTCCCTACTCCTACCTGCAACCATCATCCACCGGCATCTTCCGAGCATCCAATCGGCCCTTGACTGCCTGAATGGCCATCGCTTCCCTGTAGTAAGTGTATAATCCCCTACTTGTCCGTCTCTCTCGGCTGGACGTTGCCGTTGCAGGCCAACAAGGGCGCAGCCAAGTAGACAGGCGAGCGATGAAACGTCCCAAGGATCGGAGATTAACCACGCACCAACAGCCTGGGTTGATACGAACGACGAAACAAGCTAACTACGCACGCTGAAACGCATGTGGGAGACAATTTGGGTTAAATGAGTGTGATTTCTCTAAGCTCGAAAGGGCGCTCTTGTCTGTCGTACAGCAGAGGTAAAAAAGGGATCGGGGCTATCTACCGCATAACGCAGGCAGGCAAGGCACGAAGATACGCAAGCAGACACACGATGGATAGAAGTCAAGGAAGCAATGGTGCGAAGAGAGCAAGTTGGAAGTCGTAACTCCGACGAAACAGCAGGCAAGCAGACATTGATAGCTGGTTTGCCAGGTTGATATGGATTATTGTAAGGATATATAAAAAGTAGAGCAGTAACGGTGATAATAGTTAAGTTTAGTCGGTCTTCGCCTTTTTTTTTTTCGTTTCGTTTTGTATAAGGATGGGGAAGAAAGAGTTAAACGGTAGAGCCGAACTGAACTTAACTGAACCTGACAGAACGCGATCCCACGGTTTCAGTGGGAGCAATATGCAGTGTTTGTGTGTGCAACTGACATATTGCAAGGAGTGATAAATGGATGCATGAAAACAGCAGAAGAGAGAAAACACAACAGGAGCTAGACATGAACAGGCTAGGAAAAGAAGAACAGTAAAAAGGGGGCATCGAAGCGTGGAAGATCTAATTAAAAGGCATTAGGTGTATTTTGAGTCGTGGAACGGAAAGGAAAGGAATGCATTTCGTAGGTATCTCGTTGAGTTTAATCACTTCCGCAGAGCTAGAAAGACTGTTAGTATAATGGACTATGATGATAGAGTGTAAGATAGAATATAAGGAGGCTTACAGTTTCAACAATGATACCAGTGATCTGGTAGGGATCCGCGTTACTGGCGGGTCTTCGGTCTTCGAAATAGCCCTTTCCGTCCTTTGCACACTGTCTGGGGATACGGATACTGCCACCACGGTCGGCGACACCCCAGCTGAACTTGTCGATGCTTCCGGTCTCGTGGCGGCCGGTGAGACGGTCCTCGTTACCCTCGCCGTAGACAGCGATGTGCTCTGGGTGACGGGCCTCGAGTTTCTTCATGGCGGCCTCGATGACCTTCATGCCACCCTCGGCACGCATGGCAGCCGTGGACACGTTGGAATGGAGGCCGGCGCCGTTCCAGTCACCGGGGATGGGCTTGGGAGCAAAGCTGATGACGACACCGAAGTCTTCGGCGACACGGTTGAGGAGGAAGCGGGACATCCAGAGCTGGTCACCAACTGTTCGATTATTAGTTGAGTTCAGACACAAACAATGTAAAAATAAAAAGGCGACTTACGGGTGATACCCTCGCAAGGGCCGACTTGGTACTCCCACTGAGAAGGCATGACCTCAGCGTTGATACCGGATATGCTGATGCCGGCGTATAGACAGGCCTTGTAGTGAGCATCGACGATGTCACGGCACTGGGCCTTGCCGGTACCGACACCGCAGTAGTAAGGGCCCTGGGCACCGGGGTAACCACCCTTGGGCCATCCGAAGGGCCAGCCATCAGCGTCGAGGAGTGTGTATTCTTGCTCTAGGCCGAACCAGAACTGTTCCTTCTCGTGGGTGCGCATGAGACGAGCAGCCTCGTGGCGGTAGTTGTACTTGTTGGGGGAGCCATCGGAGTCCCAGGTCTCGCAGAGGACGAGGATGTTGTCACCGCCACGGAAGGGGTCAGGGAAGATGGCGCAGGGACGGAGGTAGACGTCTGAGTCGTGGCCGGGAGCCTGTCCTGTCGAGGAGCCGTCAAAGTTCCACTCTGGGAGCTCGTCGGCCGAGGTGACTGGGCGACTGAGAGTCTACAGCAGTACGAGTCAGTATCAACTGTATATACTCAAGCAAACAACGAAACTCATCGCTCAAAGTCTGGCCGTGTAGATCACCGTTCACACCCCAGCCAGCAGTGAGCGTTGTCCGTATGGGGGGGGTTGACTGGGGGCTAATGCAGGAACCAGGCGAGTTCGAGCAAGGGTCGACACCACAGCAAAAAAAATATAGCAAAAAAGAAGCAAAAATGGAAAAAATAAAAAATAAAGACGAACCTTTGTTTTTGAGCGAACACCACCGTGAGCGTCTACCCAGACGTATTCAGCAAGGACCTTTCCACGCTGGTCGAGTCCCATGTATTTTTGGAGCTGGAGGCGTTGTTAGTTATGGTGACCGGGATGTGATTCGACGACAGGGGAGCAAGCGAGGGCACAAACATTAGCAGCATCAGATCGACGAGTATTCGCCTGTAGTATTATCGTTAGTATACTGTCCTTCTAATTGATGTTGTTGATGTTGTTGTTGATGTTGTTGTTGATGTTGTTGTTGCTGTGATGAACCCACCATGATGAGAGATAACAGCGAGATAAGTCCTGCTTGGACCGGTAGATAGAGGCGATAAGCAGAAGCGAGAGTCGGCTGGAGACAAGAGCAGCTGCAGCTAAGGCAAGCAAGCAAGCGACAGAACCGAGCAGGAGAAACAGCGAAGAAACAGCGAGATGGCAAGAGAAGGAGAATATAAGAATAAACAGAAGATAATAAAAGAGGAAGAAAGAGAAAAAGAGAAGAAGAAGAAGAAGCGAAAAGCGGGTTTTGCGTGCGCTTAAAAAGAAGGCAAAGTTTTCCTGCGCTTTTCCTGCTGCGGCCAGAGTGGATGACGTAAGGCAAGTCTCAGCCAGCTTAAGTAAGCAGTTACTTGTCGCCCAAAATAGAAAAAGGCCGGAAGAAGGCCGGAAGAAGACGGCGGGCGGACCCGCTTTTTTCTTCTTTTTGGTGGCGGTGCGAGATCGCCCGATAAGGCAGGGAGAGGCGGGGGAAGCGCCGAGATAAGACTAAGGGCGCGCGATAAGGAAATCCCTCATATGTAGACGAGCCGGCGGTTGAGATAAGAAGGGCAGGCGGTGAGACCTGAGACTGAGACTGAGGCTGCGGTGATCGGCTGTTTCGCTGTGGGCGGGCGTCTGAGGGACTGCAGGGGGTTTACAGGAGGATTTGCAGAACAGATGTACTGACGGAGTACTCACAGAGTGCTCGCTGCCATGGATGCAGTCTACATAGATGGAAGAGGTACCTACGGGGCATCCGTTGTGCTGCCGTGGTTACCGGCGATGCGTTGCTGCAGCTACTTGCGCTGCGCCTGGTGGCTGGCTGGCTGGCCAGATGGCTTGGGCGCCGGAGATAAGACGGCGGCGTCTGGTTGGTTGGGCAACAAGAGACAGAAAGAGCCAAAAAGAGGGCGATGAGTAATACGATGACATAAGACGCTGCCGAGGTACCGCCCGCATGAAGCTTAGGTAATATAACACTAACCCAGCAACGTACTTCCATACAGCAGTCAACTGCTACTATCTACCTACTTAGTTGGGATCTTCGGGAGGATAGGAATATGGAATCTTGGGACGGAACGGGGACTGTGTGGGACTAACAATGGGACTAGGACAAGGGCTAGGCTAGCTGCGATGCTGGCGGACGGCGTACATACTTGCAGGCGGACTCGACCAGCAACCCCAGATCCTCGCATGTCTCCAGGACACGACCCAGCAAGCCACACAGCTTCTTCTCTTCCTCGGCAGCTCGCGTGGGCGTGTCGGCGGGCCCAGAGGCAGAGTGCTCGATCTCGACGATCCCGCGGGTGCAGGGCACTTGCAGCCGGCCGTCGGCGAGCACCTCGACTGTGACGCTGGCTGTCCGGGAAAGGGAAGAGGAAGGAGAGGAAGAGGGAGAGGCTGCCAGGGGGAAGACGACCAGCAGGGTCGGTGGTGATGAGACAGGCGTCCGCAGGTTGATCGAGATGCGTTTCGTCTCGTAGCTCTTATCGGTAGATGAGAGCAGGCTGTTCAGCCGAGTCTCTGCTGCATCGACATTGTCCATTCGATGGCCCTCTTGCGTGTACCCTTCATCGTTCGACTCTTGATCTTCATCATCCTCGTTCTTACCCTTAGAATTATCACTCGTGCTCATCTGAAATACGCTGAGTAGCTTGCCGAGAAGAGCATACTGTCGAAGCAGAGGGATGACCTCCTCTATCTGTCGAGGATGCGAGAAGGGAAGCTCCCTCACCGTATAGCCAGGCACATGCTCCAGGGGATGGAAGCTGTACACATGCTTCTTCCTCGTCACCTCGTCTTCTGCCCCTTTTGTTTGGCCAAAGATAGGTACCGTCCTCACATGCTCTTCCTCCTCCCCTTCCCCCTTTCCGGTTCGCGATGGCCGCCGCTCAACAGGTACCACAAGCGCGTCATAGGCGGCTGGCGCCCTCGTCTCCTGCGGCATCGTTATCCCGACCAGGCGATACACCTCTGCTGCCACGACGATAGGTACATGTATCGCTGGCTCCAGGCGTGCCACGAAGCGCACATTCGGTGGGCTTGACGGCAGCAGAGGATCGGTCGAGACTAGCGTTGGGCCGGGCTCTAGCCAGTTCGTTCGAGTCTTGCCAACCTTGCCGTTCGTATCCTCGCCGCCATTATTGCCCTCGTTATCATTATTATCGTTGTTGTCATTGCTGGTGATATTGATATCGTTTTCGTTATTGTTTTCGTTGTTGTTCTCGTCCTGCGTCGGTAACACCGTAGGATCACCCACCCAGCCCTTAGATATGCGTAGTGACGGGTAGCCAGCCTCACACTCTATCACAGCATTGTACACCTGCCGTCTGCTGCATCCCTTAGACTGCTTCAGGGACGGGGACAGCTCAGCCTGCAGCACCTCTTCAAGCGACGTGCGTTGAGCATCCAGTAGCCGCCGTTGGTCAGCCCAGTAGTGTATCGCCAGGCCAACGTTCTTGCCCCGGTGCATGGTGGGACAGCCCACACTGCTCCTCCTACACAGCCGCTCCCAGAACCTGCTTTCGGGCCCAGACGAGGTTTTTTTCGTGTCTGTGTCTGTGTCTGTGTCTGTGTGTGTGTTCAGCTTCAGGTCCGGGTCCGTGCCCCTGCTCGTGCTGTCCCAAACCTTCTGCAGGCTCTCATGTACCCCTTCCACCGCCTCGAAGCAGTTGACCTCTCTGCACAACACATCCATTCTCGCCAGCCGCGTCAGGTTCGCGTGGAATGCATCGACTGGCTTCCACTCTCCTGCAGCTACTCGTTCCTCAGCATCACCATCGCCATCATCGCCAAATGTCAACACCCTCTTCAGCACCGCTGATGCAGCTTCCCTCTTCTCCCCTTCTGCCATATCATGCGTAGCATACCGGAGTGTCACATCCTTCACCACATCAGCTTCTGTCCCGTCTCGGCCAAACTCAATCTCCAAATCAACGCTGTTCCCCGCGATACTTAGATTATTATCTTGCCACATACACTCAAATCCTTCCAGCGTTCCAAGTCGTTCAACGGCCTCTCGACACACGCCGCGTCCTGCCACCCGTGACCGTAGCATAGATAGTACCTCAGACATGTTTCGTCGTTTCTCTGCTTCCGTATCTTTCGCTGTTGCGCCCGATAGTGAGTGCATGGGCAGGTCAAGCGGCATTCCCATTCCCATTCCCATCGCGTCAGACATGCTCAGCCCCATGCCTATGCCCATACTTGGTCCGCCTGTCATCGCGACTCCCCCCGGGCCGGGAGAAGGTGTTATGCCGGATAAACCTAGCGCTAGCAGTGCGGAAGGCGAGCTAAACCCTGCTGCATCATCAAGCATAGGCGTGTACTGGTGTGCCGGTGCCTGTGAATGCGATGAAGCAGGCGGCTGCTGCTGCTGCTGTCCCGGGTGAGATTGTTGCTGATGCTGGTGTTGTTGCTGTTGATGATGGTGTGAGGGGGTTCGTGTTGCTGATGGTGAAATATGCGATAGCGGGCGTCCCATAGGCACCGCCGAGGGAGCTGGATAGGGTGAGGAAGTGATCTGGGTTGGGGTAACGCCGGGATTGGCGTTGGCCGTGTTGTTTTTGGCAGGAGTCGCCATGGTTGATGGTATCAAAAAGCAACAACAGATACCGTAATTCCCAAGGTAAGATAGCGTGTAGATGGAGATTCTATTGACAGCGAATGCCCATGGGTATCATATCATGCATAGTCTCGTTCAAATAAGCCGCTCCCTCAGCCCTCCGCCTCCGCTGGTTGCCACAGCTCAAAGGAAGAGGGATCCCCTGTAGTAACAGCACTTTGGTATCCAGAATCGTAGTTCAAAATGTCCCATCACGCGTCGCTCCCTTCTCTCGTTTTAACGCAACTATCATCAGCTCCCGCATCCAGTTCGCATTCCCAGCTCTCAGGCTGTGGCTTTGCTTTGCCCTTCGTCATGAAAGTCAGACGTTGGACCCCAAAACGAGCCTACGGATTTAAGATTGGTCACGTGAATGGGCCCTGCGCAAGAAGTGGACAGCGAAGAGTTCTTTCTTGATAGCGACAGAGCTTTAGGAGTATCTGATGGCTATCTACACCACAGTCTCACGACGATAGCATCATTCTCGCTATTCCTCTTCTCTCTGCCTCTCCCACCTCTCTCTCGCTTTGCTCCATTCCACATCCGCCTCCCTCTTCTGTCCCATTTTCCACTCCTTTCGTCTCTCTTTCTCCATAGCTTTCTCCCTCTTTATCTCTGCTTCCCGCTCCTTGTGTCTCGCCTTCTCTCTCTTCTTTACCTCCCACTTTGCTCTCCCCCACGCAGGCATCTCGGCTTGTAACTGGTCTACTTTCGCCCTATGCGCCTTGATTTGTGCAGCCTCTTCCCGCGGGTTCCTAGTACTCATTAACTAATGATTATATGGGGGTGGGGTGACTTGCTAGTATACTTAAAAACACTCCTTAAAAAAAGCTACTTACCGTCCCTTTGGCCTAATATGGAGTTTCATATTGCTAATAGATTTAATATAAAGATAGTTATTATCCGAAGACTCTATATATATACTGTAAGTAAGAAAGATAGTTAATATATATTTTACTCTATTAAGTAGTAGTAGTAGTAGTTACATTCCCGCACCTTCAGGCAGTTTGACTGTGCCTATATTCTCTGCAGTAGAGTAGGGTGGAGGAGGACCCGTCTTATCCATATTGAAGGGCTTTAAAGCGCCGTTGTGAAATTCGAGCGCAGCTACTTGAGATAAAAAGTTTTGAGGCGTCTTCTGAAGAAGAATAATAAGAGAAGACGACTAAGACAGATTAAGAAGCAGAAAGAAAATGAATATATGAGAGTTGTGCCTAGTGATATATATATATATGCGTGCGTGTGCGTGGCAAGCCATAGCATCATCGTCGACTCGTAGTCAACCATGATTAACTGCATCGCCCTTTGAGTTGAGGTTTTGCCCCAGCCACTTAACTAACACATCTCCTTGTCTTCCACCAAGAGGGATATAAATGATGGGCCTAGCTATCAGAATAACAACCCAAGCAAGTCCAATGGCTTCTCTCATGGGAGCTTTTCGCCCTATCATGGCTTCGAGCAGGCCTTTGTCTAGGCAGCTATCGACACTGTCGAATAATCCTCACATCGTATAGCCAGCACACCCCGTCCCATATCCGTCCGAAGCCATCTACATAAACTAATGCCAACATATAGTACGGTTTCCCGAATGCAACAGGCACGAGCCATACGCTATCACTCCTACCGACCTCTCCTCCAACTCCAGACGTCGCAATCGGGTCAACAACTACTTCTGCCCTCCCTCCAACACCAACCACATTCTCCCCAAACCCGCGCTTCATATCAATCCTAGACTCCGTGCTAGCAGACCATGCGTACCAGGACCCAGACACCGTGTCCGCAGCACAAGTAATGGCATCAGCTGCCGGTGCGAATCTCTTCTCACGCCTGCATGGACGGGCAGAAGGGGCAGGGTCAGCTGGTCGAGGTGGATTTATACATATAGCTGATTCGAGAGAGCCGCCGGAATACGGCAGGATACCTTCGTATGTTTGACCCATTGGGTTTACGGTTGTGTTAGTGGGAAAACTAACATATAACTACAGGCCAGAAGATATATTTGGCTCTATTGAGGTTGATGGACAGGGTAACATTGAAGGCAAAGGAAACTATCAAAGCAGCGGTATGATACATTCTTTTTTCATTCATGAATAAATGCATTGCTTTACTAACCACATCTCTATCCAGGAACATATCGTATTGTGACGAGGAGTGGAATGTAAGTGTTCCTCATGTTCGCTGTGGATTTGTCTCACATTGCTAACGACATACAGCCTTGGACTAAGTCCATTTCTTAGAGAAAAGTTGGTTGAGAGACTAAAGGCCGAGGAGCAGAAGATACGGCAGTAAAGGTGTCAATATCCAATGAAGTGATATTAACGTTATTCACGACGAAGTGTAAGATAAGTATACTTGTATAATAGACATTGCATGTTGGACAGCGACCCCAGTCAAAAAGAGGGATAAATATCGTACATAGATCAAACATAAATCGCAACTAAATCACTTCTTGAAGAAATTGGTAATTCGCTGGTTTCCACCACTTGGTTTAGCACTGGATTTCGGTTTCGTGTTATTGCTTGTTGCACTTCGCATCTTCCTCGTAGGGCTGCTTCCTTTAAGGGGTTCCATCTTCTCTTGGGCAAATTCTTTTTGTGGGCTTTCAATCTTCACCCTCTTGTTGCTGTCTGCAGAAGTTTTCTCCGGTTTATCATCTGGAGTGTGTTCTCTCTTTAGGCTGCTGGAACCTCCCTCAGTTTTTTCGAGTTTTGTTTCCGGCACTTCTGCTTTCCCCTTCTTTTCCCCCTTTCCTTGGAAAAAATTGGCGATGTTTGACTTATTTTCCTTGCTATCAAGCGGTACGATGAAGCTTGGGGAGTTATTGCCGACTTTCCCTGCGTCTTTACTAACAGGGTATGTCTCCAGTTCACCTTCATAGGGCTTCAAGAGTGATTGAAGCTCCTTGGTCCATGTAGTAGTATGCGGGTCTAGCCAAGCTGCCATTGCCTTGCTACCCGGATCAAGAATGACCGGCATACGGTCGTGGAGGAATTTCAGTTGTGAGTTGGACGAAGTGGTGATAACCGTGTAGGTATACAACTTCTCATCCGAGTCTATTACGGGTCAGTCACGCACCCAAAATATATTATCCAATGCCAATCCTACTTGCCTTCGTACTTGACACAATCCCACAAGCCAGCGAAACACATCAGATCGCCATCCTTTCGACGGGTATAATACGGTAGCCTGGTTTTACCTCCAGGGCCAGTTTTAAGCCATTCGTAAAAGCCTTGGCATATAACTATGCAACGCTTTTTCCTCTTCATCGAAGTCCACATGCCTCGGTCTTCTATTAACGAGTCATCCCGACAGTTGATAGTCTTCATCAGTGAGCCGTAGTCTGGAGAACGTTTGGTCCAAAAGGGTATAAGCCCCCATTTCATGGCTTGAATCTTATACTTGACACCTTTCTCTTCTCCCTCGGCTTGCTCAGCATCCTGCTGCTCTTCGGGAGCTTCTCCCTCAGCGGCTTCATGACTCACGCCACCGTGGTCAGGGGTGTCCGCTCTGAGGACAGCACCGTAGTTTCCAGGTGCAAAATTATATGTCTCCCTCACTTCATCGTCATTTGCTATCTCATCAATCTGCTGTCCTCTCTCTTGTAGCTGATGTCGAATGAACGCTAGGCGCTGTCCCAAAATATATCAGACTAGTGGTCTCCTTGTATTAGAGCATAGGATCATGCATACAATTCCCATAGCATAACGCCCACACATTTTACCGCAGTAGCCAATTCTTTGGTGTATACAACTTGGTCATAAACCTTGCATATGTTAGAAAGAGCTGGATATCAACGACTGGTATATATCCAAGGATAACTTGCTGCCTTCGAGGTTGTAATTAACTTACTGAATGTATTTAGTCTAGACCTTGGCTAGTTTGACATGGTACACGTGACCGTCTAACGCACTACAGCTACCCATACCGATTATGTTAAATATTAGTACCTCGTCTTATATAGAGCGCCGAAAATGGCTATCAATACACACTGTGTGTTAGGCATCTTTATCTTAAGGGGAAGGAAAGTAATCAATCTATGGCTGTCAGAATTCATGGTTGAGTCCGATTAAAAAACCACGCTAAAAATGTCTAAGCAACCTTAAATTTACCATTCTATCGCAACCACCGGCCGGGAGACAAGTCATTATTATCTCGATTGTGATATAACTAGGCATCAGTGACCAGGCTTGCAGTTACTTGCTTCAGTCCTAACACATTATTAGATATGATCTAGAAAGATGCTGCTGAAACTAGGATGGCGCGTCAGCGCTCTCTCGCAACCAATATACAGTCCGATTTTCTCGCAATCGATGACCAGAACAATTTCTTCATACAGAACGGCCCATCGACCAAGAATACAACTCCTCTCTCGCAACCCATCGATCTCCCAATTCCGATCCTACACATACTACCAGCGCTTCAGGGACAATTTCCGGGTTGCCGCACGAAATGTCCATCGAAAACACCCTATCGGATTTCCTCTTACACTCCTTTTCGCCGTGGGAAACACCGCACTCCTAGTGTACATTGTCTACGACTTTATGACTCGAGTGAACCCGGAATTCACAAAGTTCCCGAAGGAAATAGCTACGCCTCTTCGAAAGGCAGTGTATTATACCGAAATGGACCTCAACCCACCGTCAGCATTGGCTTATTATAAACAGGCATTAGCCGCTGGATATCATTTGGGGCTACATCCATTTTCAGATGAAATGCTGGGCATACGATTGGCGGTAGCTGCTATGCTGGAGAAGGCAAAATTGTATGACGCAGCGATTGAAGTTCTCACGACAATTAAGCACGATTGCGAGATTTGGATAGAAAATGGAAGGAGACGAAAACTGATAATGGATCGGGAAAATCAGAGTGGGAAAAACACCCGACCTGACCCCTCTGATTTGGATGCTGTAGCTGAGTACGAAGCTGGTCTGAAGAAGGAGCAGGAAGAGGAGGAACTGCGCGACAAGGTGGTGAAGAAGATACCAGGCATTAGCCTAAAACTAGCCGATATATACTCCGAACAATACCCTGATGATACCGCGAAGGCAGAGAAATTCCTTACCTCTGCTTTCGAAACTAGCAGAGCAGAGCTTCAGCGAAGAAGGGACCTGAAGCTGCCTATTACAACGGACGAGGAAAATCCAGCATACCTTACTCTTTCCGAAGTGGGCAATGCATGTAGTGAGTTGGCTGACCACTATGTAAATAAAGGCAGAAGCGACCTAGCAACCATTCTGTACATGCAAGCAATATCCTTATTCAAGGAGGATGAAGGAGATGGACGACACAAATGCATCCAGGCCGTTCTCCTAAATAATATTGCTAGTCAGATGGCGGAACAAGCTGGAAAGGTACCTTTGGGCGCCGCGTTGCCTTCTTCTGCGTCTCCGAATCCTGTTTCACGCAACCAGCTGCTATCTGCAGCAGGAGAATGGGCCAAAAAAGCATTGGACGTTGCTAGCAATGTTGAAGAATCATATAAGAATGAGCAATGTGACCAAGCCTGTGTTGTTGCTCTGTTCAACTTGGGAGAGATAGCTGAGATGCAAGAAAATTCTCACCAGGCAGAGGACTTCTATCGAAAAGCCAAAGCAGCGGCTGTGAAAGTCCAATTTGCGGAAGGAATTGAACAGGCGGAAGATGCACTGAAGAGGCTGCGACGCAAGAAGTGAGATAAAGTAACTTCCATGTATAATACCTCTCAAACGAGCAAGATAGCTACGAACATAGAAACCCCATGTACAACATTTTGACAAAATTTAGGTTCCACATTGAGAATAATTGCATTCAACTACGGTGAACGAGAAAGGTATAATCATGATGCAGAATCTCCATTAAAGTCGTGAAAGACGTACATAGCATAACCTTTCTAGCCAATACGATAGGTCACTCGCCAACTTGAATGTCCATGAAGAAGATGCCATCGGCTTTGAAGATAAGATAGCAGTGGGCAGGTTATGCTTTTTGAACTTTTTTTTTTTTGCTTCCATTTAGATAGATCCGTTGTAAATAACTCCAGGGAACTATCAAAACACCACAGCTCATGTTGTCCACGGGTGTAGCCCTTTTTTGCCCTTCCTTTTTGATCAGGTGTGCGCATTGCTTCATCCGAATGATCCCCAACCAGTCATATTGTTTCATTGGACATTATCTAGTAAACAACTCACTCCGGTATTAAAGATGTGACAAAAGGGGAATAAAAAGTGGTACTTTTATACCCTTGACATGACACCCCAGGCGCGAATCTTGTTATCAGTGTATCCAGAGAACAAAGTCTGGCCATCAGCGCTCCAAGCCAAGCTTATGCACTCAGGGTCACGGCTCTTCTTGCCCTTGTCCTCGAATTCAGGCTTGAGCTCATCAATCTTGCTCTTCTTCTCCAAGTCGAAGATGCTAATGCTGCTGGCGGTGGCAGCGCAGAGCCAGTAGCGGTTAGGAGAGAAGACGAGAGCGTGGATTTCATCACCAGCGTTGAGAGAGTAGAGGTGTTTCGATTCGTTCAGATCCCAGAGCATGACAACGCCGTCCTTGCCACCAGAGGCGCAAAGAGAGCCATCAGGGGAGATAGTGACAGTGTTGATGTAGCCACTGTGGCCAATGTGGTCAGTCTGGATGCGGCAGGTGGAGAGTTCCCAGACCTATTGTACCTCGATTGTTAGCAAATGCGTCCAAAGAAGTGCAACAATACTCCAAGAAAAAGTTTTCTGTGCGCAGTATATGATAATCAAGGAGGGTAATTTCCATCAGGGCAAAGGTGAATAATGGTCTCATGGCCCGTAAAGGAGCTCTGAAGTAGCAAATACGTAATTGCAAAACATCATTTGGAAAACAAGGCGACATAGAAAACGAGGAGGTTGCTGGTAGTCAGGTGATTCGTACCTTGACGAGCTTGTCCCAACCAGCAGAGACGATGACGGGGTTCTGGGGGTTAGGGCTGAAGCGGACGCAGGAGACCCATTCGGTGTGGCCCTTGTCGGTGATGGTGAACTTGCAGTCACCAAGGGTGTTCCACAGCTTGATGGTTCTGTCACGGGAACCAGAGACAATCTGGCGGTTGTCAGCGGAGAAGGACACGGACAGAACGTCGTTGTTGTGGCCGACGAAAGTGCGGGTGGTGTTTCCGGTAGCCAATTCCCACAGACGGAGGGTCTTATCCCAGGAGCTGGAGAGAGCATAGGCACCATCGGAGGAGATGACCTATTATTCAATAATTAGCCATGCAAAAAGGAAATCCCCATGGCTTATGCCCCTCTTCGATGTTTTTTTCCATATCTCGCTATCCTGCGCAAACTTATCAAGTGTACCCGGGGGAATATCATACACAGTCAGAAACGATGTGAGAGTGGCCGTGGAGGGATCGCTTTGGGTATCCGTATGCGGTGTCATCGCGGGTCAAGTTCCAGACGATCAGGGTCTTGTCGCGGGAGGCGGACAAGAGCATGTTTGGGCTAAACCGGCCTGTCAGCATCATCCTCCATCCGCCTGAAGCTCATCGTCTTTGCTTCTCTTCTCAATCACAGAAATCATCATGGAATTGTCCTTACTTCTCCAAAGTCGTGGCCAAGCTGGTAACCCAGCCATTGTGGCCCTGGAGGGTTCCACGGAGGACTAGCTGCTCAGCCATGATGTGCAGACTCGAGCTCGACTGCGTGATGCTCTCGTAAATCCTCGAGGGGTGGTGGTCGACGGAGAGGAATGAAGGTCGAGCAGTGAAGTTGTTGTCTCTCTTCGATCTTTTTTTCACACAAATCGCAGAAAGGAGTTAGGCGTGTTCCGCATCCAGGCAAACCCTAAACGCCAGTGTGCGCGCTAAACCCTAATCGGCATTAAGCGAGTGCCTTTTCAACGTCTCGCATACAACTATATAGATGTAGCATAGATGATGATGATGATGATGATTCTATGGTAGATACAGATGAGATGGCTTGGTGATACATAATGTACAGGCACGTAAGTATACGCTACGACTTGAAGGGCTCGATGTTGGGCATGCGTCCCAGGCCACCGCCGCTTCCATTGCTGCTGCCATCTCCAGCCTTCTTGCTCTGGACGTGCTGTCGTAGCAGAGCGAGAATCTCCGAGTCAGCCCAGCGCTGAGGGACGGGCCGGTATGCTGGCTTGAAAGCTCCCACGGTCTGCGCCCACTCTCCGCTCTTCGCTGCGCCGCTCTTCCACGTATCCGTCAGCTCGTCCTTGGCCTTCAACACGCTCTCAGCTGCCTCGGACTCAGACGGTGGTTCCTGAGTCGCCCAGTAGTAGATGTCCCAGTCGTTTTCATCCAGGAACCGGTCGTATTCATCTAGTTGACTTCCCGTCATCTTTGCCAGATATGTAGATGCGAACGTTGACAAAAGCAGGTCCGACTCTAAAGTTCCTCGTTTGCGGCTCTGGTCTATCTTCCAGTTAGTCCTTGAGGTGAAAGATGTAGCCAATACAGCACTCACATAGCAACCTGGCTCTCTTTGTGCTGTTATCCTCCCCCTTTCTCTTCAATGGCTCGACTTTGAATGTAACGCCTTCCATCTCTCCCACCTGAAGTTCACCCTTTGTTTGCCCGCAAGCTAGCTGCTCTTCCGCCTGACTACCCTTGCTTCTTGCGCTTCCATTGCTACCCAGCTGGGAAGAATAACTCAGCCATCGGAATCCCGGGGACGAGGTAGGGTATATGCTGGCATTGTGTTGATATGAGATGGATGCGCCGGATGCCGGTGACGACCTAAATGAGAGGACTGGAGAGCGGCATCTGCACGAGGCCAGACCTCGCCTTAGCGATTGAGATATACTATGCGCCGTAGACATTGGAGTAAAAGAGAGACCGAAGTGATATGCTTCTGCGTCGAGATCCAGCAGCTAACAGTTGCTGGCTCTGTTGATGAAGATTTGACATCATCCGAGCTCTGTTTGCACTGTTTGCATCACCTGGACATTATAAATTCACAACTACAACTACTCATTTGGGAGCCTATCTAAAAGTTGATTTTTAATAACTGAATAAGTTAGAATTATTCTTTTTACGTTCATCCATGTATAAACCCTGTAGCTTTTCGCAGATGCTAATTGAATAGTGATCATAGTTACAATTCGTATTCCCTCATAATGAGACGTGATAGATATCGAAAAAGAGGAAGTATAAATAAATGAAGCCGAGCAAGCAGAAAGGCCGCCCAAAAGTACCTGAGCAGACATAGAAACGGATCAGAGCCTTTGGTAGGAAAGGGCAGTTTCATCATTCGCCAAAAGAAATCTCTTTATGGACGCTTTAGATAAGATGCTTCGATCTAATCGTAGAAAGAAATCATTTAGCAAGCAGAACCAGATGAGGGGGCCAATACTACAGTTAAAGGAAAACTTACCGGAAGTAGGCTCTCAAGTAGACAACCTGCCAGACACCAAGACCAATCAGCATGCCCATGGTGCCGAAAGCAAACCACTTAACTCGCTCATTGGTACTTTCGTTGGTATCTCGGAGCTTCTGCTCTCGTGCGCGCATAAAGTCCATCTCCGCAACGATTTCGGTGATCATGGCCTCCAAACGGCGAAGGTCAGCCTCAACTGGCTTGAGCTTCTCCTGGACCTTGATAGCATCCCAGTCACGAGCATCAGCACCGATTTCAATGCTCAGCTCAACCTGACGAGAAGGATTGGGGCCAGGATCTATAATCGGAGAGAAAAAAAAGTTTAGCTAAAATTCCACTGTTTGTAATGCCAATGGAGAAATCCGTCAGGGTAAGTCTTACGTCTCCCGGAAAGGACGTTAGAGAAGCAAACGTCAAAGGAAGAGTCGGCGCTGGCAGTAAACATCTGTCTGATCTCGCCGGCAATATCTTTTGGTTTGGCGTAATCGTCGCCTAGAGAACTCTTGATCTATTCCATACAACACAAATCCAATTAGCATGCATTCTATTATATCGTGCAAGCCACAATTGCAGTCTGCTTGTCTTAAAAAAGATGAGAAAAGTCCACCACATACGTGCATGTTGACAACCTGGCCATCTCCCTTCGAGCCGCTCACGGTGGCAGTGACAACAACAAGCTGGTCACGCGCAACAAAATTCCTTATGCATCTTTCGTGCTTTCCTGAGTGTGTATTTGGGATGAGATCGAATCGTACGGCGGAGGTAAGAGGTACAAGGAGGGTGAAGAGGAGGAAAAGAAGTTCGAGAGGAGACCGCAGTCCCATGGCTGAGCCCCGTCGCATACTGGTCTCTGCCGTGGATAAGATGGAGAAAGAGAGAGAGCGAGGAGGTCGAGGGAGGAGGATCACCACCAAGGGAGCTTGTGGAGAGAAGGGCGGTTGATCTGGATGCGCCTGGTCGTCTGCACTGCTATCTCGATGTCCAATTTAGGGTTACGTATATATTTGTCCCTGGCGCTGGCGGTTCCAATGCAGGCCAAGGAAAATAGAAACTCCGGCAAGCTACATCGATGAGACCTCCAGGAGTCCTGGCCAGCCCCTGAGCTCGACATTCAATACTACCAACTATTTACTGATGCAATTATCTGGCTGCTCAGCTGTTCATGTGTATACCGGTGGTGCTGCTGTGGTGTGAATTTGGCTCACAGCCAGATACAGCGAGCCAACTCTTCCTCTCCGAGGCCAACTGCTGCCGTGGCTACGATGATACGCAGATACTCAGAAGGCTGATACCTTTCCTAGATATTATTTTTTGCTCCGAAGCTGGGGGGATGTCTAGCTGGTATCACTTATATGCTAGATATCAAAGAACGTCTAGTATACCCACCTCAAATACTACGCCGGAGTCCCATCTATTTATAAACATAAACATCGATTAATCACTGTACATCTCAAACAAGACAGACTGAGATTGGATATACCACAAAGGGGTGGAGTTTGTTCTAAAAACACATCTCCACTGATGAGAACAGCGGTATACATGTTGGAGATAGGTCACATTCAATTTGAACTGCAATGTCAACTATCGATTCAAAAGTTGTGGATATCATCATATCTTCAATTTCTACTACAGAACGGCCTCCACTAGTCTCCATATCGAAAGACGTCCACGGATATCCCTAGCTTTATAGGTCCAAACGGACACCATTTAAACTGCGTCTCAAGTCCCATTCGTCTCTGAAAACGTTGGTATCGAGACCCCCATCTACAGTTTCGGGCCTGGTGGCAACAACAGGACCATTGACAATGATACTTCTACAAGATATTCATTCAAAAAAATATGAAAACGGAGAATTTATCTTCTTGTGTGGTTTAAACCCTTGCCATGTGTTGGCAAACAGTGAGATATTGTGTCTGCGGAGATATTTAACTAGACATCACCAACTTGTATCATAACATCAACCGATATGACTCGTCCGTGAACAAACTCAGATCAGATGTACCTGTACATCTTTGAATCAACACCACCTGTCCTTGTTCTGCATACCTGCATAAGGTCAATGCTATTGCATGTATCAGCTCTCGCTCGAGAAGAGGCAAAGAACACATCACAACCCACAACAGCAATGCAAAACGCAAAATGATATCCCATCGACAAGGCTCCACGTCCATCACACGCAACCGTTCGAAATCCAGGGTCAAAAATCAATTGGCGTTCCGGGCATCGGAAACCGGCCTCCAACGGGCCCATAACCCTCCCGAACTATCGACCGGGGAGGTCATACACGTATTTGGACGATCTGGCGGGGGAACAGAGGTTCCGTTCGTCTGTTGAAACTATATCTGGGGAAGATGTGCGGGTGTTCACAGGGTGAAACGCATGCAAGTCAAAATGATCTGCTGCCGGCTAGCGTGGACAGGGGTGATGCAAAACAAGACTGCAGAACTGCAACCGCAAGCATGTTTGAGAGTTGATCTTGTGACGTGAAAACGCTTTGCTTTGACGGGTATACGTGGGTATTTTTGATCTATGTTGTCATCGATATCGACGTGGCATGTGGCATGGCATGACACAGCGGAGTGTAGAGAGTCAAAAAATTGGTCATGGAGACGTAAAGGGTAAGATAGCGTGGAAGAAAAAGAGTATTTTCATGACTTGCATCTCACCGTAATGGCTATGAAGTGGGGAAAAGTATTATATGACAAAAATAAGACCCAAAGGGAAGTTAAGAAACAGGACGGAAAGGTGGTATATAGAAGGAGGAAGAAAGGGGTACAACACATTCTGTATGCGTTCAGCGAGCGTAGCGTAGACAGACCAAGGAAAACGGGGAGAAGAAGGCGGAAATAAGGGAAATAGGAGAAAAGCTGGAGCAGAATCTGTGTATATACGTGGAAAGGTCTTTTTCGCCAAAAAAAAGAACGAGCGAGGAACCAAGGCTGGATCTTGTCTTGATCTGAATGGGAAAGGAAAAGGAAATATATATACTGCCACCCTTGTACCAGGAAAGATGAAGATGAAAAAAAGAGGGAGATGAAAAAGCAGATATAACGAGGCGGGAGGAAGGAAAAGGTATAATGTCACAAGGGCCGAAAGTCATATTCATTAATTAAAAAATATGGTAGAACATTTCGGAAAGGGTGTTTTTCCCAGAGAAAAAAGAGGGCAAGGGGCGATGATTCGTGACGAGGAGAATAGGAAGGGGGGGGG